TCTGCTTGGGTGGCAGTTATGGTTTCTTTGGGGTATATTCCCAACAGTGTAATTGCTGGGTCAAATGGTATTTCTATTTGCAACTTTTTGAGAAAGCGCCATACAGCCTTCCATGCTCGCATTCTGGCTGTACTTCCAAGACGGGTGTGTTTGTTCTTTTGACAGTCCATCATATAGTCAATATTCTTCACCACCACTGCAACTCAAAGGCATCAATGCTTCCATTTTCCTTATTTGTTATGCAACCATGTATATGAGGCCACTGAAAATATCCTAGCTTGTGTGGGACAGACCTTAGTTCATCAGTAACATCCACATACTCCTTGCCTTTCTGCCTGGTTTTATTGTTAAAATCTTGCATTGAGGTGGTATGTTTCACACAATTGATGCACCAATATTGATGTATTAACTGAAATGCACAGTTTACACTAGGGTTCACTCTTCATCGTAGTTTTGGCAAATGTGTAAAGTCATGTATCAGATCTAAAAAATCCCTAAGGATCTCTGGTGGCCTGAACTATAGGGAGTTGCTATAGATTAGGGAGCCGCTAAAGAAAAGACTATGCCTCTCTAGGGCTAGAATCCACCAGATTTGGCTCTTCAGGACAAAGATGGGCAATCTTCTCTGATGTGATTTACAGCCTGCTGGAGGGTCAGTTATGAACAGGTTCTGACTCAAGGTGGCTGTGAACCAAATAAAAAATTCTTCCCACCTCAACCCCAAACTTCTGAGAAAAATTCATCTTTTTTGTTGTATAATTTTGCCTTTTCCAGAATGTTTTAGAATCATATAGTATGTCACTTTTTCAGACTGACTTCTCTCACTTGAGGTTCCTTTGAAGTGTTTTGTGGCTCAATAGCTCTGGTTTTTCCCCCAAAGTCACAAAAGGTATTATCCTGAAAGCTTTATACATAACGTAAGTTAATTCCTTATGTCCAAAATTTTAAAACCTTACAACAGCTTTTCCATATTTTAAGCGATAATTTTTTTCAACAATTTATACATGCCTATAATTCAGTGGCACTGAGTCCACCCTTCAAGTTGTGCAGCCATGCTTGCTGTTCTTTTCTGAGATATGCCACTACTATTAGCATCCACTCAGTGCCACCTAAGCAAAACTATTCTTTCCCTGGTAATTACTAACAATTTTTTGGTTCACGTGAGATCATATGGTATTTGTCCTTTTGTTATAACTTATTTCACTCAACATACTATTTTTTTGAGATTTTAACGAAAGTTTACTGAGAACTTGGATTTCCATTCATTTATTGTACATTTTCCTGCTTAATCCCGCTCGTTTGCTTTTCTCTTTTTAAAAAAATATTTCATTGTTGCACAATTTTCTCCCCATCCCAGTCCACTTTGCTCTGCACCCCTTAATCTGGAATGCTATCATGCAAATAACACTTAATATTTTCCTTTTAAACAGTTCTTTCCCTCATCTGTTTCAATGCAGTGTATATTATTTATCTCCTCTCTTGTTTCCCTCAAATCCCCATGTCAGTACTGTTTTATAATGGTGGCATTATGCAGTATTTGTGCTTTTGTAACAGAGATATTTCACTCAGCATAATGTCCTCCAGGGTGACCCATTATGTATATTTTATGAGTTCCTTGCTTTTCAGTGCTGTGTAGTATTCCATTGTATAAATATACCACAGCTTCTCTAGTCATTTGTTTGTTGATGGACATTTAGGGTGTTTCTCTCTGTTATTGTGAACAATGCAGCAATAAACAAAGGTGTGCATATATCTTTTTGTGTGTCAATAGCTCTTTTTAATGCTGAGTCATAATCCTTTGAATGGATGTCCTTGACTGGAAGAAATCCATTATTTGTTCCCATTCCCAAGAAAGGTGACCCAACAGAAATGATCAAAAAATATCATTAATATCACATGAATGCTAAATGTTGAAGATTATTTTAAAAAAGCCAGAGAATTGCCAAAAATTCAAGCTGAGTTTACAAAAGGCTCGGTACCTGGGATATCATTGCTGACATCAGCTGGATCTTGACAGAAAGCAGAGAACACCATGTGTTTTATGTGTTTTATTGACTGTGCAGAGGTATTTGACTAGGTGAATCACAATAAATTACTCAAATAGAGCAAGGCAACACTGTATGGTTGAAATCAAGAAAGTGGTGTGCTAGGTTTTATCATTTCTCCATAGTTATCTAATCTGTATGCGGAACAAATTACTTGAGAAGTTGGACTTTATGAAGAAGAATGTTGCATCACAATCAAAGGAAGACTCAAGAATAACCTGTAAATGGCACAACATTGCTTGCTGAAAGAGAAAAGGACTTAAAACCCTTGCTGCAGATCAAAGACTATACACAACTTTCAATATAGATTATATCTCAACATCAAGAAAACAAAAATCCTTACCCCTAAGCCAATATACAATATTACAATAAATGGAAAAAAGATAGTAATTGTCAACAATTTCATCTTACTTGGATCCACAGTCAATATCCTTGGCATCAACAGGTAAAAAAAAATCAAAAGATGCGTTGCATAAAAAAAAAAAAAAAAAAGATGCGTTGCAGTGGGAAATTCTGCTCTCAAGGACCTCTCCAAATTGCTAAGGAACAACAATATCAGTTTGAAAACTAAGGTGCATCTGATCTAATGATCTTTTAAATTATTTCTATGCATCTGGAAGTTGGACAATGAATAAGGATGGCAGAAGAAGAGTACTAAACATAGACTACCAGAAGAAAAAAATAAGCCCTTTCCACGATGATGGCACCAAAAAACAAAGAAGGAAGCCCCTGTACCTCCCAAAACTGAAGCCAAAAACAAAGCTGTTAAACGCCAAAAAGGCAATCCTGAAGGGCATCCATAGCCACAAAAATCAATCAATCAATCAATCAATCTACTTGTCACCTACCTTCGAGTGGCCTAAAACACTATGACTCTGAAAGCAGCCCAAATACCCCTGGAAGAGCACCCCCAGGAGAAACAGGCTTGACCACTATGCCATCATCAAGTTTCCCCTGACCACTAAGTCAGCCATGAAGATGATAGATGATAACAACACACTTGTGTTCATTAAGGATGTCAAGGCCAACAAGCACCCAATCAAACATGCTGTAAAGAAGCTCTATGACACTGATGTGGCCAAGGTCAACATTTTGATTAGGCCTGATGTAGAGAGGAAGGCTTTTATGTTCAACTTGCTCCTGACTATGATGCTTTGGATGTTGTCAACACCATCTAAACTGAAGCCAGCTGGCTAATGCTAAACACAAATTTTTCTCACCAAAACCCAAAAGAATATGTTTTGAACAAAGCACAACTAAGGTGCTCCTTAGAGACAAAGATGGTGAAGCTTGGCTCACACATTTTAGGCATGTGTTAGGACAGGCCAGTCCTTGGAAAAAGACAAAGCTTGGAATGATCTGTGCAAGAAAGTAGGATCTGTCAAGAAAGTCAGACTCTCAACAAGATGGCCTAGCAGTGGCTATGACAGTGGGCTCAAATTTCTCAGCGATAATGAGAACAGCACAGGACAGCGCAAGGTTCTGATCTGTTGTTCATAGGGTTGCAGGCGAGTAGTTGTAGTTAACTAACAGCACATAACAACATTACAGGACATATTGGTTGCTTCCCATTTTTTCACTAGCTTTATTGTTTCTGCATTTAAGTTTATAAATTTTTATAAGGAATTTACCCTCCTTTAAATTTTTTGCTTTTCTACTGCTCCTTCCTTCCCCCCCTCCCCCACCTCTGGTGGCTCAGTGAAAGAAGTGTTAAGAATCTGTGCAGCAATCCCCAAAACACGTGGTTCCACTAGCTGCTCCGCGGGAGAGGGATGGGCAATCTCCTGTGCAATTTACTGCCTCTGAAAACCCGCTGGAGGGTCAGCTACGGGCCAACTTGGACTTACTAGCAGACACCATTTCTAGAAGGTAATGTTTTCTCCTTTCATATAAAAAAACACTGGCGGTTTAAGCGCTTAGCTGCTAAATCAAAAGGTCGGTGTGTCTCTCCTGGGGTAAAAAGGGGTAGCAGTCAGCTTCTGTAAAGATTTACAACTTTGGAAACCCTAGGCTCTGTCCCATGAAGTCACTCTTCTTTGATATTACGAAGCACACAGCAGATGGCGCAAGAGAGATAGAGTCCCTTTGGGTCCTGTAACAGTAGCCTCAGAGAAATCAAGACAAAAGCTGTTTTTCACTCGGGATCTAATAAAGTAAGCTGAATTGTGCACTTAAGGCTTCCAATTTGCAAGACATAACTTTAGCTTAGTCTCCTCCACACCACTTTTACAAGTAGGCTGACGATTTTAGAGTATTTCGGAAAAGCGCCGTCCAGATACTGCCCATTTGTCGTTAAATAAATGAGGAACCAAGCACAAGAGAAAGGGAAAACGTCTAAGAAAAACATTTGCAAACAGGCAATTAGCTGAGTAATTCCCGATTACGTGGAATTTTAGGATCTGAAACCTGCGACTTATTTCTATTCTAAAGTTCTGTTCCTTTTGAAAATTTATACTCAACTTGACTATCCAGATTTCCATTAGGAGTAGCTGCTGCCTCTTGCTCTCCAGCGTCGAGGTTTTAAGCTCAAGCCCTAGACGGAAATATCCTTGACTTATACACACACCAGCCGCTCCAGCGTAAGAAAAAATGCAAATTAAGGTAAGTCTTTGCCTTTTCAAACTAATTAGAACACCTCTGGACATAGTGCCATACGCACTCCGCAGTAGCTCAAACCACACCAAGGTACCGAAATCCTGCAAGACACTTACCTCATCACGTTCCGCCTACGTACGCACGCAAGCCCCACCTATTCAGAGCCCTTAGCTCGGCAATCGTCTAACCACCCTGCTTGCGTTCGGTGCTCGCCCTTCGACCGTTGCGCCTGCGTCCCACGGCTGCTGCCCATTGCAGCGGCCCGGATCGGGAAGTGTCTAGCGGGAGCTGGCTTCCCCTGCCTTCGCTTCGCCCCTACCAGTGACCCAAGAGCTCTTAGCAGGCCGGGGCCCAGTCGCCATGACGAACGGTGAGAGCCGGTGTCCAGCCCAGAGAGCGGGAGTGAGGGACTAGGTGAAACGTGGCGGGCGGGGCCGAGACTGACGTGTCCGTTCTCCCCGCCCCCTCCCGACCCGGCCCCTCTTGGCCTCTGGGGCCCCTAATTCCTCACCCCTATATTCCTGAGGGACCCCCGTCTGATGTTTTTCCAGCACTCTCAGTGCCTCACGTGTCCACTCGAGTGGTCCGCCCCGATCCATTATTTTCCTCCACTTCCTAGAAGTTCGTTTTGGCCTCTTGGGGAGGGCATTCCCTTAGAACTGCTGCGTTAACTCTCCTCAAAGCTTTTACATCCTCGATCTTTTACACAGTCGAGTTGTTGAGAGCATGTGGAAGTCACAGATCTCAAGCCCTGCAGTTTTAGGGGCGAATGTAAACGCAGAAAGGAGTTCTTTTCTGTTGGGGGGTGGGTAATACAGTGAAGTCTTTTATTGTTTTTATAGTTGTGGCCTGATGATCCCGTCTAGAGATATTGGCTTAGTGTTGCAAGTATTGAATACAAAAACTGCTTCTTGTAAATTATTTGGCATTTACCACCTGTTTATCTGACCTAATTTCTCATACCACTCCAGTTTATAGGCATAATTTCCTATAAAATGAAATAGATGGAAGCAAGGCCTTATGGTATTTAGAATCAGCCCTTTTAGGTAAGGAAATGGAGACCTTTTGTGAGAAATGTGATTTGGAGAGCATAGGAAAGTACTTCTTTCTCAAAAATGCATTTCTCATAGGCCAGAGATTGAAGACTCAAAGTCACCTTGTAAATTTTGGCATTGTTGGCAAAAATTTATGGGTTTAACAAAACAAAACAAAAAGACACAAAAAATGAGTAGCAGGAAGCTCTGGTGGCCTAGTGGCAAGAAGCTGCACTGCCATTCCAGAGGTATGCAGTTCATTCCACCAGATGCTCTGCTGGAGAAGGAAGGGCAATCTCCTCCTGTACCAGTCAGATACGATTTGATGGCACACACAAACAATTTAAAAAGTAGCACATAAAGGTGTCAACCTACTGTATGCTGTGGCTTACTGGACGCTTCTGTGACACTTGTCTGTGAGATAGTTTACTAGAGGGAGAGAAGGAGATCTTGGCTCAGAACCAGCACCTAGAAGGTTCTGTAGAATATCCTGCTGGAACTTCTTGGGCTTGAGGTTTGAGGATATTAGATACATACAGTAAGTGATTTCACCCAGGAAATATTTCTGATGCATGGTCATTGCTCAATACATGTAAGTACATCTCCCTTTTTTTTTTTTTTTTGTGGTCAGACTTGGGGTTTTGGTAGATAATGTGCTTCTATGTACCAAAAATAGTTTGGTTTACATATGTAGGAAGTAGAACTACGAGTTCCAAGTACTTCCACTATGTGGAAGCTTCACTTTCCCTTTTTCCTCAAAAAACAAGCATCTGTGTTACTCTGGCAGAAATTTTGGTCTATCAATTTAATATTGTGATAAGTGTAAGAAAATTATACTCCTATAAATCCCAAGTCTTAACATTTTCTTTAAGTTTTACATATTCACCACCAACAGATGCACATCTGACAAACTTGGCTAAATATATGAGTTTTAAAAATCACTTGAGTAATTTATAATAAGAACATGTTTTATTCTCCCTGTTCAGCATTGCAGAAAAAAAAAATCCTACAGCTCTCTCACCCTACTGCCAACACTAGCCACTCCTGCCAGGCTGACTCCACAGAAACTGCCAGAATGTGTAGTCCGTGAAAAAGGAGGGAAGGGCGCATCGGCATTAGTATAAGAAAAATGTCTGCATGAAGTTTTTGAGAATAATAAATAACCTTATTGCCAGGACTTTGGCTCTCTTATTGAGTTTGTTATCTTGCTATTATATCACACTCTGTCCTCAGAGTCCTCAGGTGGGATGATCTGTCTCAGGCTCAATCGGTACCAAAGGTTTTCTTTTCTTCTTTCTGTAACAGTTTACTCCTTGGATGGAATTCTTGTGTTTGGCTTGCTCTTTGTTTGTACCTGTGCCTACTTCAAGAAAGTACCTCGTCTTAAATCCTGGCTGCTATCAGAGAAGAAGGGAGTTTGGGGTGTGTTTTACAAAGGTAAGTTCGGATCTCAACAGGAAAAGGAGATTTCCCTTTGTGCAAAATGAGGTGCTACAAAGTGAGGGACTGGGATGGACTGACAATGTTTTTAGTTCAGCTGTTAAAAGACATCCCTGAGATTGAGCCCTGGAAGCCATAAAACCAAAATCATTTTCTGAATCTGAAGGGCAAGGTATATGCTAAAATATACTGTTATTTTTAAAACACAGTTGTTTATTTTAGTATGAAGTAAGTTTAATATTATCCATGGAGTGAAACTGTGTTAAATTATTTTACTGTAGGCTGCAATGTGTTGGGAGGAATATTTTCTCAATGAAAAGTTTTCCTTATTTTCTACACAGAATAAATGGAATATTTTAAAGTTTTGACTTAATTTAGATACTTCTCTACTTTTCATTTTGGGTATCTTCATCTGAAACCTATTTAAATAGTTTTAAAAATTGAACAAAATGTAAATATTCACCTAGAACCTAGAGCTTCAGAATGACATTTAAATAGATTCCCTGGCTCTTGAGAAACTTAATCTGTCATCATTAGATGACTTTATCTGTGATTTGAATTTTGAAGTGAAGACACTTTTTATGGAGAGCAGAGTGTGATTTCTTTTCCTACCTTTGCTTCCCAGCTGCTGTGATTGGAACCAGGCTGCACGCTGCAGTGGCTATCGCCTGCATTGTAATGGCCTTTTATGTCCTCTTTATAAAATGAATTCCAAAGCATCCATCTCATCAAACTGCCAACCAAGGGGATGGGGGCAAAGAACCTGTCGGGGACCTGGGCCCAGCGTAACAGAGTTCAGCTAAAATCATCCAAGTCCCAGGACGATGCCACAGCATCCACACCTGCCACGTGTGTGGATAGCGCCTCCTGGTCACAAACATTGTTTATGCTTCAGGGGATTCCGGAAAGCTACTTCTTTTGATTTATGTTTCAATCAATCCTTGGCAGAGAACATATGATATTCAGATAAATTGCAAGATTACATACCTCCTGCTTCAAAACCTGTCACCTTTTTTGTTCTTCAGCCCCTTGTCAGGATATTTTCAAGCTGAGACTGACTAGGAAAGACATTGGCTATGTTCTTACATGCAAGAAGAAGAGAATTTTCTTGACTTCCCCCCCCCCCCATTTTATTTGGATTTGGCAAATTGGATGTGGGAGGTTGTTGGGGGGAGGAGGTGCCCGAGTGCAATGCCAAGAAAGTATTTAGCTTTGGAAATTTACCTTTCAAATCTGGAAGCATAAGAAGGACATAGCCTTCATTGCAAAAGGAGAACAGAGGAAATAGATGTTCTGTGTGCTAGTAGCTTAAGAGGTTTTTCAAGAGAAACTGGGCCTGCATAAAATTTGAGACTTTATAATCTGTCTGTGATGAGAAAATAGTGACTGAAATAACAAAAAAATATTCATCAATATCTGTTCTAAAATGGAGATTTTACCCTATCACGTGGTATATGGAGAAGGACTCATCTGTTGCTATTTTCCTAAAGCTTTTTTTATTTTTTCTAAATTACTTCGTGCTAAATACTGTTATTCAAGCAGTTTTAAATGTCTCCACTAAGGTAAAGAGAAGCTTTTGAAATAATTGTTTAATATATTTGCAGTTAGGGTAGACAAATAAATATAATGTATTAATTCATATACTAGTAAATTCATCTAGTATGAGAATTTATGAGGATATTAGATGGACGTTTCCTCATCTAAGATACAAACCTTTTCTTTGGTTATAGGTGGGGTTTTATCGCAATTTTTAGTTGATACTTGCTTTTCCTGACCAACTCTTAATTTTCTTCGTATTAGGTGTTCTCGGAAATTCTATTTACTATGGGAACTTGAGACATTTGAATGGGTGAGATAGGTTGCTGATACACATATGCATGCTTGTACAGGTCAGAGAATCCATGAATAAAATGAGAGGGTATTTTAATGTTTTCTCTTAAGTTAGGAAAACAGGTTTGCAATAGAAATAGATGGATGGATTTGTCCTGAGGTATGGTTACTTCTGACACAAATCATTTTAGCCAACCTAGCATTTAAAGGGAAGATCTCTCCATTCCCTGCTATCTTAATCTATAAAAGAATCAACCATTTATGAAACAGATTATCTTTTAGAGAGAAACATGGAGAAAGTTTTAAAATTAAATTATTATAAAAAGACACATTGGCATAGGTCTCCCAGTTAACTTGTCCACAGAGGTAAAAACCAAAGGTGTCTCTCCTTGAATTACTGTGCATGGTGTGCTCTGGTTGACCCCGTATGGCAGGGAGTTAGGTTTTTTGCCTGCCTGCTCCAAGAACAAAAGCTGCTAGGAAGTTTAAGTTCTGAAACACGCAGTTCAGTGCTTTGAAGGTTTCTGGAAGTGGTGGGAAGTCATTAAGTGAACACTACATCCACTCATCTCTGCGTTGGCGGCTGTTATCTCTTCAAGAATTGGTCCACAGGGTAAATTTCTATTTGTTTTCCATGGTCATTTCTGAGGATCCTTTCTATGGATGGAAAGCTAGTGGAACCAGAAAGAAGAGTTACACCTTGTGGGTGTGAGTTTGGAACCTGTAGACCAAAGGGAATGTGGCTCCCTGGAAACAGGCTCAACAAGGTTTTGCACTTGTTATTTTGTAGCTTTAATGACTTTTGTTTTCTAATAGGGCTAATGCCTCTAAGCTGGTGCTTAGAGTGATGTCATATTTTAAACTAGCTAGCTCCATTTCACAATTCTAGTTCATACCAATTTTTAAAGACTTCTGGGTGCGTCATCTTGACCCAAATGCTTGAATTGTTCAAATGTTTCCATGCCAGATTGTACCAAAAACGTGCACAGATTTAAGATAATTTACAGCAAAAAACAAATACACAGCCTTTTCATTTCTTGATTTTATGTAAGCAAATAAGCAGAAACGTGTTTGTTACTTTTGTTGCTGTATCTTACACATTTTTACTAAAAATGATAAGAAACTGTTCCCTGGGGGGGATCTTTTAAAGGTGAAGGAAAGAGGATAGCAATACTGCCTCAGATTCAAACGAGCATCACGCAAGCCCTGTCGGGGAGAATGAAGTCAGCTCCTTTTTTATAGTTGAAATACAATTTTATATTCACCATTGTCTGCACAAATCCTTGAAAATAAAATTTCTTTCCCTATAAAGTGTCCATTTTATCTGTCAAATGCTGAATTTCTTGGATCTTATTGAATACTCCCCTGGGTTCTGCATGTAGTCCATCATTGCAACTCACACTAATAAACGCAGTCATTCCTGCTATCCCCTGTGGCGCCTGCATACATGGTTCCAAATCTGTGAAGCCTGGCGTTTGCCTCTGGATGTGTTGACGTGTACTTACACATACATACTTACACATTATATAATGATAGATTCTGAGATGTATTAAAGTTTTCCCTTATTACTACTATTAACTATCTCCCCTATACATTTTATTTACTATGATGCTGAACACTATTCCATAGTCATTTCAAATACCATAATGGTTACCCATTATGTACAATGGTTGGATGAGCTTCCAGAGAGATTCATGTTGGGAAGCAGGAGTGGCATCCACTGGCATGCCCCTGGAAACTCCACAAACTCTTATAAATGTACAGAAATGATGTTAATTATCTAACAGATCTTAAGTCTTTTGTGCAAAGCTTACTCTGAGTCATATTTGACTCGACAACACTTAACCACGTGCTGTTACATCTGGAGGAACATTCTTGCACTTTGCACACCACTCTTTGTCAATGTGCTGTATGAGGTAACCTGGGTTTCCTACGATGCTGAACCTTGTGCCATGGGGATATCAAATACCATAATGGTTCCTGATTGTGGTCAGTGTTTGGTGGAGCTCCCAGTTGTAAGACAAGTTGGGAAGCAGGAGTGGCATCCACTTCCTAAACCACATGCCTCTGGAAACTATGAACTTGGAAAAACAACGATAGCTATGGGAAGCATTAGGTCTTTTGTTCATAGAGTTGCTATGAATCGACTTTGACTTGATGGCAATCAGCAACAACAACTTGTATCTTGCCATCAGGCAGCTAAAAAAGCCTTCAGCCAATAGGATGTCAGGCTATACAACAGGTACTTTATCCCCTGTGTTGGGCTTGGTTCTAGAGAGAAGCAAACCAGTAAGCATAAATTATCTTCCTCTCAATTGACATCAGTTCAGGCACACCTCAAAGCCAACCTTCCAGCAGTTTCCCAAGACTAAATCACTTGGGAGGAGACTGCCCATCATTCGCCCTTGGGGTGGGTAGCATATTTTAATTGCCAGAGAAATGCAGTAAGCATCACAACTCTGTGGACTACACCAGTTATGTAGAGATTACTCATTGCCATCAAGTCAGAACTGACTCATAGCTGGCCCTCAGTGGGTTTTCAAGAGGATATAAATAACAGAAGGAGATTGCCCATCTTTCTCTTGTAGAGTAGGTGGTAGATTTGAACTTTATGCCTTTGGATTGATGGCAGTGCAACTCCTTACCCACTAGGTTGCTTTATCTTATGTACAGATAAAAGCGTTATTTCAAGGAAATGGCTCATGCAGTCATAGAAGCTGGCAAGCCCCAGGTACATGAGTCAGACCTCAGGAGAGAGGCCTGCAGAGGGTCAGCAGGTCCGAGGTCAGCAGGGAAGTCTCTTTCTGACTTCAGAGGTTGGTAAGTCCAAAGTGGACAAGTAAGGTAGGCAACTGATTTGAGTCCAGAGGTGATGGGCCAGATAATTGATCCAAAGTAGAAAACAGAAGATTAGCACCGACAGAGGGCCCATGTTATTAAGTGTCCTCAAGGTTGCTCTAACTCCTAGCCACTGTACGTAAACCAGAACAAAACCATTCTTTATCCTACAGCATCCTCATAATCTGTTGTACTTAAGGCCAAGGTTGCAGGCACAGTGTCAAGTCATTCCCTGAGTTTTCCTCTTTCACTGACCTTCCACTTCTCAAGCATGATAATCTCAAGGGACTAGCTCATCTAACCAAAGTATGAGACAATATCTCACTATCCTTGTTCCTAGAGAGCATTCTGGCTGCACTTCTGCCAAGACAGATTTGTTCTTTCAGTGGACTATAGTAAATTATTTTTTGCCAACATTACAATTTAAAGGCATCATCAGTTCTTTGATCGTCTTTCCACTTCCCTAAACAACATCCCTCCAGAAAGAAACTATGAACTTTGATAAATGTTAATGGTTGTAGAGAAGCTTCAAGCCTTTTGTTCATAGGGTTGCTATAAGTTGTGCTGGAAAGCAATCAACAACAATAACATAGACATGAAGCAATGAAGAATTCTATGGCCTGGGACAGGCACACCTTGGTCTTTAAAGTAATATCCTTTCTCTCCAGCACTTTAAAGAAATCTTTGGCAGCAGATTAGCCAAACACAGTTTCTATTCCAGTGAGTCAGAGCCCACTCAGCAGCATCTAACAAAAACAAAGTTTCAAAGGAGTCCTTTGACATGCATAATTAGACTACTAACCTCAAGCTTGGCAGTTGGAATCTATCAGCCATTCAGGGATAATAGATGAACTGTCTCTTCCCATAAAGGTTTACCATTTTTGGAACCCGATAGAGGATTACTATGAGTGGGAATTGATTCACTAGCAGTAGGTTTGGTTGGTTTTTTTCCATGGGGCTTGGCAATGAAGTGGTTAAGTGCTTGGCTATTAATCTAAATGTCAGTACATCTAACCCATCAGATGTTCTTCAGGAGAAAA